ATCAGTATGAACAGCTACTCTTGCAGATCATTCCTTGGTTAAAAGTGCGGCTTTACCATCATCATGCAGCTCACTTTTTGAAAGTCCTTAGTCTCAACCAGGTGTTTTAACTACACTGTGTAGATAAAGAGAAATAGACCAAAGCAGTGTGTGGAAAAGACTCACTACGGGAAAGACATTGAACTCTGGAGCGTGTCCAGAGAAGAGCAACGAAACTGGTGAGGGGTCTGGAGCACAAGTCCTATGAGGAGTGGCTGAGGGAGCTGGGATTGTTTAGTCTGGAGAAGAGGAGGCTCAGGGGAGACCTCATTGCACTCTACAGCTTCCTGAAGGGAGGTTGTGGAGAAGAGGGGTTTGGCCTCTTCCGCCAGGCAATGAGCAGGACCCGGGGAAATGGCTGCAAGTTGTATCAGAGGAGGAGTAGGTTAGACATGAGGAAAAACTTTTTCTCTCAGAGAATGATCAGGCACAGGAATGGCCTGCCAAGGGAGGTGGTGGAGTTGCCGTCCATGGCAGTGTTCAAGAGGTGTCTGGATGAGAAGCAGTGAGATATGGTTTAGTAGCTTGTGATAGCAGTGGTAATGGGAGGACAGTTGGACTAGATGATCTTATAGGTCGTTTCCAACCTTGTGATTCTATGATTCTATGATTATAAAGAAAACTTGTGTTTTTTCTACCAATGTGAATACTTTGCAACAGAGATGATAGTGATGTAATCCTTAATCACGAGTTATAAAGTTGAGGTAGCCTCGGAACCAGAAGTATGGTACTGGATTTACAAAGGCCAAGATAGAACTGTAAAAATGACTGCTGCTTTCAGTCTGAAAACTTCTGTAAGGTTTGACTGACGACAATTTTGTCTGCTTTTTCAAGCCTTTAGGTAAATCTTTCCTACTAAGCAATGATGCTACAAAGACATAGGGTCCAGTTTGGCTTTGGGCCATGACCATGTTTATAAATTATAGGAATTAAGCAAAGCATACATCTGGTTGTTGAAGTAATTAAGAAAACACTGACAGTGAAATACTGTATCCAACGTTTGTAGTGTTCATATGTGTGACCAACAGAAAGTAGCAACAACTTTCCTCAAATGTTTTGAGTTTCATTATTGCTGATGAAGGGAATATGCTGTGGTTTGAAGACATCATGTTTTACTGTATGTTAGCTCACCTGGAGTCTGCTATTTAGAACATGGTCTCTGACCAGGTGCTCTTTTCCTCTGTGGGGAGGACCTGCTGAAGGTTAGCAGCAGAAAGTCTCTTACACTAGGCAGGACAGGAAGGGTCAGGCTAAGAGCTGCCATTTGTGATGCCGTGTTATTTAGCCCCATATGTGGCAGCCCTCAAAAAGATGGTGTTGCAGACAAATGTGCTCAATATAGTAAGTTATCGGGAATGAACAACCCCACAGAAAGGGTCATTTTATTCAGTTTATAGTTGAGTCCACAGCAATCTTATGATTGTAGATAAAATTGCTGCCACAGAAACTTTTTGCAGTGAAGTGGAGTTAGTATGAAGAACAGATAACAAGCAAATCTTTCTCAGAGTCCCAAATATGACCTGCTCATTGATATCCTATCTGAAAAAAAAGGATTTTAAGGATGTCAGCAGAGAGGTCATAAGGAAAAATCAAAGGAACTGAATTTAATTCCAGTACTGATTTTACTTGCCCACACTGTAGACTATCAGTGTAGTATATATTATATCTCCATCTACTTATCTGCTTCCCAGAAAAGTAATTACACATGTTGGTTATTTTCCCATTATGACTTTAGGGTGCATGTCAAGGGTGCACTATATTAAAGACAGCTCAAAGACATAGCAGTAGAAAAGTGGATTTAATGATTATTCAGATTTCAGAAAAAAGCATCCTTAACGTACATTTGTGTTCTACAGCAGAAGAGGCTGAGTAGGGCAAGACTACGTTTCAGTCTGTATTCAGTCTTTTCAGTTATAACTCAGTTTTTCTCCCATAGATGTCCCATGATTACCTGAGTCCACATAAGTGCACTTAATCACAAGACTTGAGTATATACTTTGCTGGCTAGAAAAAGGAGAGGACAAATGGGGATTTTTTTGTGAACTTAACATTTGCAGAGTAGATTGTTATTTTGTTACAGTATGACTTGCTCAGATATGGTCTCTGCTTTAAATAATTTCTTTAAAAAGAACTAAATGATATCCAGACATTGGTGGTTGGACTACTGATTTGAATAATAGAATGAAAACCTCAGCCACAACTGCTATATGTAGCATTTTAACTGTCGTTTGTTATTATATTAATGTTCTGTATCATCACTTATAAATCAATAGTACCAAAATACCCTTAATATTAATCCAGCAATTTTTTGCATGCATGTTCACTGTAATACTGCCTCTAATTATAGCACACAAACTATTTCCTACCAACTCAATGTTATATAAGCACTTTCTGTAACCTTAGATAAATGTGTAGCAGCTATTGAGGACAGTATTTCTCCAGATGGTTTGATCATGACAGATAACCTCATTTATTGTTGTGACAGTACAGGGGCACACTGCATCTGTGATCCTTCCCCCAGTCTGTCTTGCAGGGTTGTCTTTCAAGCAAGAGACCCTGCCAATGCTTTTTCAGGATTGAATCCAGGCATTCACCTAACTTTAGACTGCATCAGAATATCACATCACCTCCCTGCTCATATTCTGATTCCAGTTTCAGTCAGCTGTGTATCTCTTATGCATTCTCCACAAGTGTTGCTTCAGACAGAATACATCCCTATTTTATTTACTGTCTCAGTCTTGATCCTAGGATACTACACCCTTTTTTTAGTTAGGGTGAACCTCTTACTTTAAAGGCCCAACTTTAAATTTTGATGCTTCAATGACACTTTATTATTTTCAAGGCTTTGTGGAAAAGGGAAGATTAAAGGAAAGATTAAATCTACACACGTAGCTTAAAGTTACAAAGATCCTCTCCATATAAAGAAGTGTCTTATCTATTACCTGTCACATTGCAAGTGTAGAAAAGGTTGAAAATTTTGAAGAATATAATAGGTTCTCTATTCCAGTTCCGTGGAATAGCTGTGTACAAGAAAGCCTAAAACGTTATTTGCTCACTTTTTGGCAATCTAGTTACTTCAGCTATAACCTCAAGACTTTTCTGTTAAACATTGTTGCCCTCTTGGTCTCTCTCCTACACTGTCTTTTCCAGTGCTTGCTTGCTCTCTTACCTTCTACATTATATTTATTGATAGATTTATGCCTTCTTGATCTTAACATTTCATTTCTCAATTAATAGTTCTTCTAATTCTCTCTTAATAAGACTTGGTATTTTTGTGTTATATATAGAATACATATAGAACACAAAATAATTATAAAGAACAAAGGATATCTCCTTTATCCACACAACTTATAACTGATTATATGATAATACAAGAATTTTACCATAATATTCCTTACAATATTAAGTAGTTAAGAATTGAGGAATTTATCAAAAAGCAACTAGAACTTTCCAGTCCTATATTAAAATTTGTATTTTCTCATTATGCTTATGATATGTCTCTTGTGTTCATATGAACTAAATTAAAAATAGGGATTTAAAAAAGTTGAAAGAAATTTGACAACTTGAAAGTCTCATTGGGTAGCAAAACGAGGCAGCAAAATGTTATCAAAATTATCACATACAGGTGCGCCCTAGTTCAAGACATTTTTCTCTTACTCATTAGTCAACAGTGGTTGTTGTCTTCACAGTAGAAAGCACTGTGGTCTGGCTGTCTGATTAATAACTTCCACCCTCAATTTGGGTGCTGCTGACTACAATGGAATCATTTTCAAAGTGACTCCAATGTTGTATGATAAATGGATGGATTTCAGTAAGAGATTTTGATCTGTAGATAATGATACCCATGGAGAAATTGTTGAGTGGATTCCTTTGCTATTACTGAACTTCCTTTAAACTTTCTTTTTTTAAAATACTTTTATATTTTGTAAAAATATATTGTTTTATATATATATATATATATATTTTGCAGTGCTTTGTGTACTTTTATTTATTTTTTTGTCATATTTATATGACATCACTACCATTTCAGAAGCAGCTGATGGAGATTATGAATGTTAATTCAGGGAGAGGGAGGTGATTGTTCCCCTCTACTCAGCTCTTGTGAGGCCCCATCTGGAGTACTGCAGCCAGGCCTGAGGCAAGAATACAAGAAAGACAGGGAGCTCTGGAGAGGGTCCAGAGGAGGGCCACAAAGATGATCAAAGGACTGGAGCACCTCCCCTACAAAGACAGGCTAAGGGAGCTAGGCTTCTTCAGCCCAGAGAAGAGAGGGTTGTGGGGTGGCCTCACTGCAACCTTTCTGTTCCTAAAGGAAGCCTACAAACAGGAAGAGAGTCAACTCTTTGAAGTTGTAGATAACAGCAAAACAAGGGGATAGGGTTTTAAGTTGAAGGTGGGAAGATTTAGGTTGGATATCAGGGAGAAGCTCTTTACTAAGAGAGTGCTGGGAAATTCTGCCCAGAGAGGTTGTGGATTTCCCATCCCTGGTGGTGTTCAAGCCTAGGTTGGATGGGGCCCTGGGCATCCTGGTCTAGTATTAGATGTGAAGGTTGGTGGCCCTGCCTGGAGTAGGCAGGTCGGAGCTTGATGATCCTTGGGGTCCCTTCCAAGCCATTCTATGATTGTATTAAATTAAAATTCAGCATTTGCCAGTATGTCAAAGCTGTTAGCCTTGATGGCCCACATTCCTTTCTAAGCAGAAAGATGGAAACTTTTTTCTTTCTCTGTTGACCACAGAGGAAACCTTGGACAAGACTTTAAACTTTCAGGCTTCGTTAAAGAGTTTAAAGATGGCCAGGTGTAAGGGAACTGTTGGGACCTGGCTTGAGCTGGTGATTGAGCACCTGGTGAAGGGCTGTGGCTGGCCCAGGGAGCACAGGCAAATTGTTTGCACCTGTGCTCTCCAGGTGACCAGAAAGGGTAGTCCTAGGGTGGAGCCCCCCCTGGGCTCATATAAGGGTCAGCCACCGAAGGGAGAGTATTTTTGGAACTTGAGCTGCTTTCTAAGAAGTGCTGTAGAGCCAGAGGTCTCCTTTACCAGCTGGGTGAGTTGGACTTTTCTTTTTGTAAATGACTATTGGTCTACTTGTGAATGGTTTACCTGGTATTGTTGAGAACTTGTGAGAAGTGATTTTACCTCTTCATAAGCAGAACACCAGGAGTGTCTTGTTCTTCTTTTTCATTGTCTGTGCAATGTTATTCAATTGCTATAGTCTTCCTTGAGAAGAAATGTTTTTGGAATTGCTATTTCTGACTTTCTTGTGAATCGGTTTACCCTTAAAAGTTGTATTAATGATAATACATGGTATCTTGTGGCTTTCAGCAAGTTTTGTGTCAAGCGTTTAATACAACTGTGTTGATATTCTGCCAGGCTCTTGGTGAGAGCTGATTATTAGAAGTCTTGTTGCTGAATCTGGGTTGCTTTCAGGCAGGTCACAAATCTCAGTCACAGTTCAGTGGATCATCTAGCTTTTTGTTGTCTGAGTTAGCCTTTTTATGGCTGGTTTCCAAAGCATTAGGCTGAAGTACGAAGTTTAGAAAGAACAGTAGAGCAGCTATGAAACAGGAAGGTTAAGAACTGCTGACAGGCAGTCCTCTGGCTCGCTTCTTGGTATTTTCCCTTGTGACTAACAGCAAACAAACCATTATAAAATTCATGTAATTGTCTGGAGGAACAAAGGTTTTCTATCTGCTCTGGAACGTAACATGTCTGTTATTTCTGCTGTTTTCTTCAAGAGAAGCGGTTGACGAGAAATGTGCAAAGCATGAATAGCAGGTGATGGCAGGTCACAAGGCTTACTGCTTTACTTCAGCTGAGAGAATACAAGTGACCAACTCTGATAAATTCCTTTTCTATTTAGAAATATTTACCATAGAATCAGCCTGTATTAAACGTGGCCTTCTAGAAATCTATCATTTTATAAACCAAAGCTATTCTTCTCAGAAGTAGATATATCAGATCTAATAATATGCATATATCCATAGCAGTAGGATATATTCTGTGTGGTACTGCAATACCTCAGAAACAATTCACAAGATAAATACTGGAACTTTAAAAATATGGGTTTCCATTGCAGCGTTCAAAGGATGTATTACTGTGTCCTGCCATAATATTTAATTGTCTTATATTCCATCTGCTTGCTGAAATCTTCTACTGAAGATAGTAATATTCCCACTCGGAAAACTGTGGCGATCGCTTTTATGCCTGTATGCGAAACAGGTCATGACTGGAAAAATCCATAAGAAAGCATTAATAAGAACTTTGATTACATTAACATTCATGAATTATCAAAGGCAATAATATATCATTGTCCATATTTTGCTGAATGTCTTTAGAAGACTAGCTGTTTCCTCTCTATATTATTTCTATCCCGTATGTGTTAGTTTATCACATGTTGTTTTCTTCTAAATAAAACTTCAAACAATATACCTGCCACAGTTATGGGTTGTGTTTGTTTGTTTGTTTTGTGGTTGTTGCTGTATTTGCTGTTGTTTTTCATTACATGTCAGGAATATTGATAAGGAAGGGAACTTAGCACTTATGCCTCTCAAACAGGTATTTGAGAAAAACATCCGTTTCTTAAAGGTATTTACCAATGCCTCCATAAGAGACCATGAAACATAGTAGCAATGAAAAAGGTCTTAACACTTGTTCTATTATTCTAGAATGCTTAGTAAATCTCTTCCTCTTTTTGACATGCCATCATTTTCTGCTCTATTTTCTCTGCAGTAGACTTCTTTACAATTATTAATTATATTATGTAATGTTTATGTTTCCGTCCTCTGGTAACTGTAGTATTTGCGGAGCTGAAATAGCACTTCTGTATTTTGTCTTTTTTTATTTCCATAGGGGAATTAAGCCTTTTATTTTTTTCTCTCTAATCCTTTATAGAAAAGCCTGTTTGTTGTTTTGGCATTTTATTTGTTTTTTGTGTTTCTTATTTCAGCTATTGACAAAAAAAGTTTCATCTTGTTCTCTAGAATGTAAACTTTTACTTTTTTCATACCTGAGTTTTAAGCTGATGTTTATTTTTCAGACCAGCTTTATGAACTTGTTTTTTCTTCTAATTTATAAATGCTATGTAATTAATTATTTATACATTATTTCTCTGGAGAGTCCTCAGCAGACTATTTGATGGTTCTCAGCTAAATCATTCCATGAGCAAATCTCTTAGGCAGCTGACACTAGTTAGCCCAGCTAGTTTTTAACCTCTCTTGAGCCTTGACACATCAGAGGCCAACCAACAACTGCCTGTGTATTGTATCACTCGGTGAATGAATCTGATGCATTGCGCAAGTCCATCTCCTTTTGCTGACTTTGCATTGTTTTGCCTATTGCATCTGCAGTCAGATTGTGCATTAATAATTTGACAGGAGCCTACTAATATTGTTGGCATTCATTCAACCTGGCTAAAATTTGTGTATTGTCCATGTAACTCTTCAGAATTTGCCCAGTATTTCAGGCAGGCTTGTTGAAAGTTCTTTCATACTGCAAAGTTAAGTGAAAGCCACAAATTTATGCCCTTCTTGTTACTAATAATATCCTATTTTTTTTTTTTTTTTTGCTTGTATGAGAATTATTAGGTCATGGACTGAGCAGCTGGTGAAGGGGTGTAGCCAGCCCTGGGAGCACAGGTGGAAACAATTCACTTGTGTGACTGGAAGGGGTGGCCCCTGGCTCCATTTCTCCCTAACCTCATTTAAGGGCTCATGGTCACAAGGGAAGGATTTATCTACTCAGAGATCTCCTCTTCGGAGTGTTGAGTAAACCACGATCCTTGAATAGGAATAATTGATTTCTTCTTAACTACTGGATTGTGACCTCTACCTTTCTTTGGTGAACCGAAACTGGTTTAAAGCTGCTTTCTGTTATTGTGTGTCCTTGTGTTTGGTGAGTCAGGCAGGAAAACCTACCAAAGACACTATAAATTCTGAGGTAGCTTTGTTAAAGGGTCTAGCAAGTTGGGTTTGGATGGGGAAAATCCATTTTCCTGAAAAAGGAATTAGCTGGGCATGTCTTGGGTCTCCTAGGCTCTCCATGATAGACGCTGTGTTCTATAGTAGAAAAATAGTGCCTGTTAAGGCATGTGGAGAGTGTCACCAGCTCACCAACCCAAATGATAGCGTATTTTGAGGGCCTGGGGAAGGATATTTTAATAAACAAAGGTGATGTGCAGCATCCACCATAGTCTGGCCTCTGTTAATGGCCTTAAATCACTTCAGCATCTTGGAACAACATCTTGAGGATCAATATCAACTATTATGTGAGTGAATTAAATGAATTAAAAAATAAGATTTCTGGATTGATGAGTAAACCTACCCAAACTAATGCAATACAACTAGTCATAGCCTTGTCTCCTCGTGAATGTAGAGGACCCTTATGGCCATGATATTATCAGAGAAGAGAATTCTAAGAAATCTGAACTGTTGGCTCTGGAACCAGATCCTTTAGAAATCCAGTGATTAGTCGCTCGAAAACTTAAATCCAAAAAAGACCTATGGGGGTACTATCCTAAGAGTGGCTTCCTGTCCAAAGTACAATGGATGTTACTGCATGCACATATGAGGCCTCTGAAATGATCAAGTTAGTCCAATTCTGGCAAAGGTCGGGGGAATGTATCCTGGCCTGGTTGTTGAGACTATGGGAACCGAAAGTGTCGTGGTCAATGGCCCAGAAGTTTCCAAGCTGCCCTTCATCATAATACAGCTAGCACTGAGGCAAAGGTTTTACACCACTGTCATCTTCCTCATTTTCCTCATAGACAGTGAGGAAAATCATTCCTTAATACAGTGGATTTTGGCACCCTGTTGGCTGATGTGGCTTAGTAAAACAGATGCAGCCATTCGTAGTATTTATGGAATTCTATGAAAGGGCACCAGAATTATGTCTAGGAGCTAAGTATGAGGCAGTAATTCAACAGTCTGCTCAATTAGTGGCCGACCTTGGAGAAACAGAGTGCCTTAGATCAAAGCGTAATATTTGAGCAATACAGGAGAGGGACTTCCTGAGGACTCCAAGACCAAAGACCTCCCCTGAGGATTCCAAAGTCAGGGACTCAGAGAGTTCCTCAGGCGAATATAGAATGACCTTGTATAGACAGGGGTGTAATTTAATAAGATTAATAAACAACCCAACTGCTTCCTCTTAGACGTGTGAAGGCAATTAAATGAAAAGCAATGCTTTCACCTTCCCTCTTTAGAGGAAAGGGTATCAGGACTTTGGGCAGGATTTCTCCACAGGCATGGAGGGTAGATTGTTTAATACCATTTGTAAGAAATGGCAGCTGCTGTAGGATGCCTGCACAGCCACAGCCAGGTGGCTGAACAAGAATGAAGGATTTCTCAACTCATGGCTGACAATATACTGGCATGCCAGATTGCTAATAGGAGATTGTATAGATTACCAGGAGGTCAGGAAGAAATCACTTGATCAATACAAGAATTGGAAAAGGTGGGAATCAGAAGACCAGCACATAATTCTCCTATATGGCTGGTTTGGAAACCAGATGGGACCTAGCAGATGACAGTTGACTGTACAGAATTAAGCATGGTCAGCCCACAAATTCACATGGCAGTACCCAGTGTTGCCATTCTCCTGGTCACATTCAGTAGGGAATTAGAAATGTACCATTGTGTCCTAGACTTGGCTAATGCATTCTTCAGTGTTTCCATGGCTAAAGTATCACAAGATTTATTTGCATTCACATGGGAAGGTGGGCAGCAGACCTTTCAGGTCCTACAATAATGGTATGTACATTCACCAACTTACTGCTGTCATTTGGTAGCCTGTGACTTGGTGGAGTGGGATAAGCCAGATAATGTCAAATTGTATCACTGTATTGATGACTTAATGCTGATTCCTCCTCTTTGGAAATGGTTGAAAAAGCAGTAGGTTCACTGTCAAAATACCTACAAGGAAAAGGATGAGCTATCAACTTGCAAGGACGTTCAAGGACCTCGGTTGTCAGTGAGATTTTTGAGTCATCTGATCAGGGAAGCCTAAAGTTGTACCCAGTGCCATTATTGATAAAATTCAGGTGTTTCCAATACCAACTACAGCAGAAGGGCTACAAGAATTTTTGAGCACCCTGGGATACAGGAGGACTTTTATACTCCAATTTGTATATGTCCTGAGGTCTCTATGGATTAAGAAAGGCTAGTCATGGATGAAACAACACACTTTACAGCAAGCCAAATTAGCTGTCAAACACAGGCACTCAGTAAATTGAATCCCACCCTATCTGCCAAACTAGATGTGTGTGTGTGTAACCTGGGAAGGGTTGGGTGTGATTTGTGGCAGTGTCTGGGTTCCACACCCCCAGCTGGGTTCTGGTGTCAGGTTTGGCATGGAGCAGAAGGAAGGTATAGCTTGATTGAGAAACAGTTATTGCCCATCTCCTCTGCTTTGTAGATAGTAGATAAAACCAAAACAGCAGAGGTGGTAGTGAAAAGAATGATACTTATTGAAGGGTGGGTGAAAAATCTATCACACATTCCTAAAACAGATGTGGCCAAAGCCCAAGCAGTGGCATGTTGGATCACCCATCTAGAACAGTGGAGTCACTTGTCTTTGCTGTTAAAAGAAGGGACCTCTGTCACTCCACCAGAGAGGATTCCTGTAGGAGCTGGAAATACCCTATCCCAGAAGATGCAAACTGATGGGTCCACAGGGGGAAAGTTAATAAATGGCGAGAAATTGCATACTGTCTCTCAACTCAGACCATCTGTTTCAGAGGTGGGGGTGAACAGGGTAGGTAGTGGGCTGAACCTAAGAACCAGGTGATGGTGCATTATTCCACTGCATGGATAGTGAGTGGTCTACTGCAAGCTTATGCTTTGGATCATGCAGTGATCCACTCAGGTTTGGACTATCTGTGCCCAACCAATCTGGGGTAGATGCATGTGGTTGGCTACCTGGAATGTGTTTTGGTAAAGAACAGCCTATGTATGTATAGAACATACACCTACCATGTATCCAGACACTAGCTCATGCAGTCACTGAGTAATGATGAAGCCAACGCACTAGCTTGCATAAGGTGGCTAGAAAATTCGCCAGCAGATAACAACAACCTATGGCTACATGAGTAGTCATGATATGCTGGACAGAAGATTCTGTGGGTAGCAGTAAAAACGTGGGAGCTGCGCATTTAAATGTCAGGTTTATGGTCCAGGCATGCCAAGAACATGAAGCAAGTTTCAGGACTGAAACTTTTGCCAGAAACAGTAGGGCATCTTGCCAGCGGGTGCCATTCTCTGCAGAGGTGAAAGGTTGACTACTTAGGTCCCCTTGCTGAATCTGAAGGGGCTGGGCATGTCTTGACCTGTGTCAACACAGCAAGTGGATTAATGCAAGCCAAAAACTAATTAAACCTATATCATCAAGGCATTAACTACATTAATGGCAGCATATGGGACACCTCAAGTCATTGAAAGTGACCAGGATATGCACTTTACAGGAAGAATGGTACAAAAGTGGATTGAGGAAATTAACTTTGGCTGTTCCATCTGCTTTTTCATTCAATGGGAGTGGGATTGATAGAGTTGTATAGTAGCATTCCAAAGGCTGCTTTGATGCTGGACTCCCAGACCTTGCAAAGGTGGACTAAGAGACTACACAAAATGCTGAGAAACCCGAGTGGAGGGCCCAGAGATGGCAGACCCGATGTGTGTTGCAAACAGCTTAGGCTTCCCCCCCTTAGGATCCAAATTAAGGGAAGTGATATATGATTGAAAGTTGGGATGAAAAATCATCTTCTGCTCTCTGCCCTTGAGAACTTAGAACCTGGAACCTATAGGGTAAGATGGCCTTGGGAAGTGCAAGTAGGGCCAAGATGGTGCAGACTACTTGTATCAAGAGAGAGAATATTAGAAGGGAGGAGGTATGGTAGTGCCGTAAGTAATTGGCACGTGACTGTCAGAAATTATAATACATATCTTATTAAATAGATTTATCAGGCAGATCAGAAGCTCCCCTCCCCCTTTGGTACTTGATATAATCATTCAACTGACAATATCATGCCAAAGGTAGGTATAAAAGGCCTGGATATGCCCCTGTTCAAGCTGAAGTTTTGATGCGGGACAGGAATATGGGATGTATTTAACCATGGAGGGCAGAGCTGCCTCTCTCAGTACCAATTAAACATCCATTCTGCTCCCCCTGAGGTCTGCAGCCCTCCTGACTGACAGAGGCAGAAGCAGCAGGGGTTCTGGTGTCAATGAATTAGAACATCATTTTGTTCTTCAGTGACATGTAATGATGGACTTCTTGAACATCTTTTGCGAAAGAAGCCGGAAGTACATATAAACAAAAAAAGTGGACTCTTCATGTCATAACATGGAATAATACCAGTGTTGTGGCAAATTGTATCTCCATCACAACTGTAATTATGAACAGACTGTAAAGGATAGCTTGACCCTGATATGCTCAGTCATTGGTTCGTGCTGTGAAGAGGTGGAGTGTATGGGGACTGTTAGGTCATAGCCTGAACCAGTGATTGAGCAGCTGGTGAAGGAGTGTAGCCAGCCCTGGGAGCACAGGTGGAAGCAATTCACCTGTGTGACTGGAAGGGATGGACCCTTGCTCCATCTCCCCTTAACCTCATTTAAGGGCTGGCAGCCACAGGGGAAGGATTTCTACTGAGAGTTTGCCTCCTTTAGAGTGTAGCGTGAGCCCTGATTCTTGGATAGAGATAATTGATTCCTTCTTAATTACTGGATTGTGACCGCTACCTTTCTTGGGTGATCTGAAACTGGTTTAAAGCTGCTTTATCTGCTATCATCTATTCTTATATTGCCAAAGAATTAGTTTTATATGTGTGACATACTGTCTTCTAGACTCTAATTAAAACTTATTTTTGGTCCTTAGGTGGAATGACTACTCTGCTGAGATGAGCTCTTAATTAATGCACAGAGATCCTGAAAGTCCCACCTCTCACCAGTAATGATTGACATCCAAGGATACATAAATTACACTAATTGAGCTTTCTATTTCTACATTTTTCTGCAGCCAACTCATCAGAAAAGGTAAGTGAACAGACCAGCATAAGAGAAGTTATTTTGCTGTCATCTGTACCTTTCTGAGGGGGGAAATCTTCAGTGCTAGTGTACTTTTTATTACCATGGATGTTAACTCCTTTCTTCAGTATTTAGGTTTCCTTTACTATGAAAATTAGTATATATATTTTTTTAATTCAGTGACATACACCTGAATAATCACATAGTATGCACTATTGAAAAGAAAATATGCATTTCAAATCATTTGGCAGTACTAGTGATCCCAAATAGTGTTGCATGGGAACATATGTTTTGTAAATCAGAGTAATGTGATATTAAAACAAGATATTTAGCTGCTTCTGAGTAGTGTTTTATCTGTAAATGTTTTCTTAAATTTGACCTGCAATTTGAAGCACAGTTTGTATAGTATTAAGCAATCATTTTTTCTTAGGTTTCAATATAGTACTTTATTAATAGAATTTTCCTCTAATCATATTATTACGGAATTAGTTAAGATGAAGTCACTGAATACTGACTTCTGAGTTGAAGTCCACTGAAACCAGAAGATACTGCTAAGAACACAGTGGATTGAGAGGAACCAAGAAAACGTGCTAGAATGTATCTGAGCTTATTTGGCAGAGGAATTCAATTGCAAATGTCACATATGAAGTATTAGAAGCAGTCACAGGGAAAAAAACTGGAAATAAGGCTAAACATATGTCTCTAGAAGGATTTCTCTAGGGTTTAAACAGTAATCCATGGTATAATGACAATTTATTCTGTCTTGGGAATCAGCTTTTGGCTGATTTGTTGTCCGAGTGTCTAGATAACTTTCAAACAGTCTAAAATAAAATTATTCCTTATTTATAATACACATTTCTGATTACAATAAATAGTGAAAACTGCACTCTTGAAACAGGCATCAGATTTTCAAGGCCAGATTCAGTGTTTTATATTCTACATTTACTTTGTATCTATCTTTGTATCTTTACTATTTTCTAGAAATGTGAATGAAAGCATTAAATTGTGTAAGAGCATTTAAACATTTCAGAGAGATTATTTTAAGATTCTGTCGACAAGCCTACAGTTTAGTTGGTGTGGCAGAGGAATTACATTTCCTTGGTAAATAACTGCATTGGATAAGATCATATACTTATTGACATATCTTTAACTCTGAAGTGGAAACAGATATAGTTGTTTCCATCTAGATGAAAAGCGAATGGATTTATGGGGGGAAAATAGTGTAAACAGATGTACGTGTTGTTTGGAGACTGTTTAACTTCTGAGATGTGTGAAACTTGGCCTGCTCAGAGCATTGTGAGGGATAATTTAAATCTACGCTTACTACAGAAGAAATATCAATGCCTGCCTACCAAACTCTCAAAAGTCTTTGAAACTGGGTCGTTTTGATGTGGAGACTAAAGAACCTATATTGAAGTTTAAAAACAAACAAACAAAAAAAAAACAACAGCAGTGGTAACCAGGTGCAGTCACCTACTGCTGCTTCTGAAAAAGAGTGCCAGAGAAGCTTGAGATATAATGTTCTTCCTACATTGGTGTTTGTTCAAAAACTCTGCTGGTGACATCATGCACAGTCCTGGTAGAAAGTCCTGTTTCTTCTTTAAAGCTTTTCATCCCTTGGTTAAGATCTGATTAGACCCTGAATTGTCCAGGCTAAAATGTTTTGGCTGAGCACAAAATGAATTATTTTTAAGTGAGGAAATTTAGAAGAAGACTACATGGAGAGAGTTTGAGTCAGTCTATGTGCTACAATGAATGTGCTTTCACAGGTCGGTCGCTCTTCCTCATCCAGTTTCTTCTCCTGGCTTTCTCAGATAGGACAAGCAGTGTGCTCCCTTCTGAGCCCTTCCAGAAAAGTTTCTTCCATTCTGTTTGTCAGAGGCATGGCTCTGTTCGCTACCAGCACTTCCCCAGAGTACCTGTTTCATGGCACCTTTCTGCTCTGTTTGTTCTTTCTATTTTCTGTTTTACTGTCTCAGAATCAGATATTTTTTCTCATGTGCCTACATAGTTGATCTGAGGGAAAGAGTTCACCTTCTATGGGATCCTATGCGATTTAAAATGCAGTAGTAAGGAACAGGGAAAACTTTGCTTTCTGTAGTCCTACTTAAATGAAAATATCTGTAGTAATATACACTATTTTTCAAACAAAGCTGAAATACCTTTTTACACCCACCTGTCAGCCTAAAAAATACCCCAGGATACTCTGGAACCCAGTGATGTTTCTTGAGTCTCTGCTTCTGGGTCAATCTCCAAGAGGGGAGAGCTTGAGAGAAAACCAAGTGTTGCTGAAATTCTCTAGTCTGCATGTGCTGAAGTTGAGCAAAGAAGGAAAGGTTGTTTGGTCTTCAGTAACAAAAGGACATTTTATTTTAGGTATCAGCCATTTCTCCCTTAAAGATTTCAGCCTTCTTTGTTGTAATAACAGATAATTACTCCCCACCTGCAGCACAAAGGCTATAGAGAAAGGAAGTGAAAGGAAAGCTAAAACCAGAATTTAGAAGGACAGGTGTTGGACAGAAAGAGGTTCTAATAGAGGAGGAGCACAATGTCCTCTTTTTCTCCAGAGTTGTGGAAATGTCTGTTTCTTACGAAAGTCTTTTAAAAAAAAAAAAAAAAAATCTGGAAATATGGTAGTAAAGTATCTTAGAGTCCAGACATAAAAATATGAGTACAAAAGGAATCAATATTTAAATACAGAGCCAGATGTATGGAGAAAGTAGATACTTTATAAGAATTCCAACAGTGTTGCTAATTGATGAGTAATCCACAGAACATGGTTAGGCTAACACCTCTGGGCAGTAAAGTTTGTTCTAAATTCACCTTTGTGACATAATTCTTGGGACAAAGTTCTTGGAAGAATGTGCACTCTAATTTGCTACTTGGAGAAAGCTGATTTGTTTAAACCCTAGGAGTTCAATAAGAATAAAAAAGTATAACTTCATGAAATGTACAGTCTTATTAATGAGAGCGAGGTTGATGTTTAGATGCAGTCACAAAACTGGAGGTGGATTACTCTATGCTTCTGTGCAACATCATGCAGCCATTAACCTGACAGGATCTAACTTCATTATCATGTTTGCAGAAATTGTGTGTTTTTATATGCACCAAATGCATTAGCTTGCTGTAAGTTTCGCTAAACTGTATTTGCCCAGGTATTTATTACCAGAAAATATACCCATACATTCAGAATATTGACAACTGTTTTAAACTGTAGTTAAATGTACTTTATAGTGATTAAAAAGAATACTTTTAGCTATAGCACCAGCTTTAAAGATCATAGCAAATGTCTAATCAACAGAGAACAATCATAGAATAGTTTGGTTTGAAAGGAACCTTAGAGCCTTAGAGACCATCCAGTTCTGACCCCCTTGCTGTGGGAGAGGACCTCTCTCACTAGACCAGATTGCTTAAAGTCCCATCCAATGCCTCCAGGGATGAACAACAATATATACCTCTTGCTTATGAGAATGAATTAGACACTGATAGATATTTCATTTTGAAATGCAACAATAAATGATTCTCAAGATTACATGGTAGAGCCTGCTCTCCTTTGGTTTTTGGTACCAGTAATAACAGATCATCAGTCAAGTTAATAAAGTGCACCTTTATTATATATTCTGCATCTGTACATATGCTGCCAGCATATGATCAAAGACTGCAGCTGTTTCAGTTATATCACAGTCATTTCATAGACATAGCAGAGTTCCAGGGACAGCCCAGTCACCTTGCAGATGTACAGAGTTCCATGCAACCTTATTAAATTGTACCTTGATGTTATATGAAACTTGTAGTACATCTATCAGGTATGAGGCGCGTGATTTCTGCATTAATCCTCTTAAAAATGTGTTGCCTCTGTCTTCTCTATAAATCCAGGTTTTTGTTAACAGAGTTTCATAGTTCTGTGGTTGCATATTTTATTTTTGCACTTGCCAAAAGAAAAGGATTATTAATAGCCAAAATGGCTGTTGTATCTTGCACTCTAAGGCAGTGTGAAGGCATTAATGAAATAATGAATATTAATTAAAATAATTATATTGTAAGCTGGAATGTTGAAGCATGTCTTTATAGCCGGTAACATGTTTTTATTTCACTTCATAGACTTCCACTTCATGTAAGTTACTGAATTTTTACATTAACTATTACTAAACTGGAATTTCACCTCATAATCTGATATGTTTTAATAATACTTGATTTTTTTCTATATTATTGAGTTTCAACACAAGAAACATCAGAGATCCTAGTAAACAAATGAGTTCTGAAAAACATGTTTTGTGAGTTAGTTAACATTGAGCACAGAGTATCTAACTGCTGTATTGCAACAACTGCTGCTTAATTTGTACTAAGTCCCATTTTCTTAGTTCCACCTTATCATTTAACAAGAAAAATATGAATTTACCACTTAACTAAATAGTATAACAAACATATAAGCAACCAATTAATCAGAGATCGGAATCCTAGCAGTTTGTTAAAGATACAGCTCTAACAAAAAATACAACTATAACTCTTAACTACTTCTCCTATACATATTCTTCACACTTTACAGATAAAGGAAGAATTATGTGTGCATTTCTTCTGATAATTTTCAGGGCATGTACAGAAAAGAATAGACAGTAACGCTAAAATATGTTAGGTGGAATAATAATCTATTATGGTAACAGTCAAATTGCTTGTCATGTCATGAAGGGTTATGCTTTAATTAAGCAATAAGGCATGACAGGGTGTGAATTACAATGTAATAATTCTTGTCTAGTGTACTGTTAGGCAAGAGGCCAAAGGCCCAGTGCCACTGAATGCTGCAGGAATGAATTGTTAAGCTGTAATTTAAACAATGCTATATCACATTACAATAACTGTAAAAATATTATATTTTAAAATGATAAAAAGTTACAAATTATAATTTTTCTAGACAAAACTACTCCCGTATTAAAGTATTTTGTTGCAAATGTTATTAAGGAGAAGAGTGATTTTTCTATTTATTATCGTACCTAGATGACAGATTGCAAAGA